TTTCCTTTTTATATTCTAGTAACATCCAAGTCTGCTAATTTAAATTCTCGCATGATTTTATGACATAGTATGATGAAAATAATAATTTCCCACTGAGTTGCCATGACATTCAGTTTTCTGGATGATTTATTATAATTCAAATCCAATTAAAAAACAAAGATATGCTGATTACCCCCTGTGGCGTTGTGAAAGAATATCCAGTAGGATGCATAGCAAACATTTACCTTGTGTTTTAAATGTTATTTTAAGTGAAATATAATTCCCTGCTGAGCCAAAAAGACATCTTCGTCTCTACAGGTTAAAAAAAAAAGGGTTTACTCTGAACTGCGTTGTGTACAGTGGATTTCTGTATCACCTTTTGTCCGATGTGGTCGGACACACTGAAGAGAATAGCCATGGGTTAATCCCTCTCATATCTCTGTGTCTTCAGCACAGCAGATGTTCTCCCTCTGACCTGCACAAAAGCCCTCTGTTTTGGTTACCAGGCTTGTCCATTCCTGAAAGGTCACAGGTCACCGTGGTCTCAGGGTGAAGCTGTCACTGCAAGTCTGAACATCTGACATCCATCAGAGCGTGACGCCGACGCCACGCCTCAAACAGGGCTCCACAGAGTCTTGGTGATGAATGTGAGAGAAGATTTTCCTGCTGATGCAGCTAAGATGTGACGTCCTGAGACTGAGTTTCACTGAACGTCGGGGACCATGCAGGCAAAGGGTAGAACACTGCATGTGGACTGAAGAGGTTCAAAATGTTGACTTGATTGATGCCTGTTTAAATTGGGTTTACACCAGCCTAGAAAAGCTAATGAGAGTGACACAATAGGAGTGGGGTTATGAGATATGCAAAAAGCACTTGTTGAGCAGGCAACTAGAGGCCCCAGGTCAGGGGTCTGCAACCCAAACTGCTCAAAGAGCCATATTGGACCACAAACACAAAAAATAAATCTGTCTGGAGCCGCAAAAATATAAAAAGTCTTGAAATATCCCTCGTATGGCAACAAAGGCTCTAAGTGTATTAGCCCACTATAGAAAAGGACAATATGTGATGGGAATCCAGTTTGTGTGTTTCCTCTTTCCACCACCAGGAGGCGCCCTGTCTTCGCTGTCCCTCCCTACACACCTGCGGCTCACTGGACCATTATCTGGAGGAGTATTTGAGCAGTGGACTGTCACTACCTCGAGGCCAGACTGTTTGCCAGTTTTGGTACTCTAGCCAAGCTGAGATTAGCTGAGTCTAACGTAGCTTAGTTTCTCTGAGTCTAACGAGTTTTTGTCTTTGCTCTCTGGCAGGAAGCTTTCCTGTGTTACTGGATACCTGGACCTTCTCCCCCCTGGAAGGAAATACCCCCCTGGAAGTTCACACTGAGTAGGGGTAAACCTCCACATGTTCCGTTCAAATTCCCATCGGAAATCCGAGTGACAGTCCACTCCATTACTCCTCCGGGTCCAACGCTTGTCTACCTGTCCGCCCTCCAACGTGTGCTCTTTTCACTGGATGTCCCACACAGACTGGATTCAAGGACTAACCAGGCCCCCCTCAAATGTGAGTCCCATTCCTGCATTATCTAAGAGCATCCAAGATTCCGACGGTCCCTGAACTGACCTCAGAACTTCCCTTCTCACTTCCAGTTCCGGTTCACCAGCTCACTAAGTACCAGATCCTACTCCTGTTGACTTCCACATAAACCTGTGAAAATTTGACCGTGCTCTCTGAGTGGTTTCTCTGCATGTGGGTCAGATTCGTTAGCCTAACGTAGTCCGACTCAATTCTAGTCAGAATATGAGTCTGATGCTGCTCCATAGAGCTGTGATTATGGGGCGTGTTT